CTCTACCTCGTCGAAAGCCTGACTGTAGCGGATTTAGCAAATTGAGATGTTCCACGTGCCAATCCAATCTGTTTTTTATCAATATCACGATATTTCTACTCTTCTACCGAAGAGTAGAAATATCGTGGAAAATAGGATAGAAAAACAGAAAAAATTTTGGTGGAGAAATAGAGACCTACAGATAAGAAATAATGTTTTAGTACGATATTTTACAAAAATATCACGGCAATCGTGGACAGAAGGGAACATTGTGAACAGAGAGGGTAATCTTATTTTTGATGTAGAAACTAGGGAAGGAATGCAGTACTGTCAGCACTGAAATCAAATAAAATTTTTGAAACGGAGTACTAGTAAATAGTCATTGCGAACGGCATTAGATATAGTGGAGGAAAAACAAGAAAAAATTAAGTTTCATTCGAGAAAAACGGAAAGAGAGCAGTACCTTCTACAAGTCAAATGATTTATGTAACTTGGAAAGTCCCGAAAATACTAATAATCAGCGTTATTTTCTTAGGCCCAGAAAATGAAATGTTTCACATCGAATATATTCATTTTCTATGCATTTATTTGGATGGATTTGTAGGTTCTTTTAGAATATAATATGATTAAAAAATAAATTGTGATATTATTTTGAGGACTGTTTATATACATATATAATTAATGTTTTGTGGATGTGGGTGAAACGGTTAGACCAGTGTTGCTAATGTTGAACTATCAAGCTGTGAAGCTTGATAGTTCAACTTCACTTGACTGAGATTGTAAAGCTATGCCTGCGTTCAGAAGCCAGTTAATTTGCCATTGATAAACAATATTGTTGCCAGGAATGTGCTGACACTTCAAAATAGAAGGATCACGGAAACATTGATTAATTATATCCATAAAGAATCATATCCACAAACATTCGAATAGAGAACATGCATATGACTCAGTTGTTGATTTCAACAAGTTTATTTCTATGTCACCCCGAATAAAGTTGGGAAAATTGTTTGGAATTACTATTGGAACATTCATTTTTTCATAACACAAAAATTGGAATGCCGAATTTTCAGGCCCACCAGTAACATACTCCTGATGGTTTCGGGTGTATAAATAGATCGTTACTTCAATCATTTCTAATTTTTCACAGAGAATACCTTTCTGATGCCAAAATTGAAATATCCGTTGCAGATTAGGGATTGCTTTCAGTCCCATTGCGGAACGAAATTATTTTTCAATTATAATTGATAATTCATTATTTCAAAACCAAACTGACGTGCCATACAAACTACAGTCTCAAGTATAATGAATCACAATATTTGATGATCTAAATTCGTGAGAAGTGTTTTTTTTTGCCACAATAGGCCAGTTGCCGGTTGGTCAGCGTGTGGTTAGTTCAAATCCAACTTTAGGATTCCGCATTTTCATTGCTAGAAATCTCACATCAGAAAGTAAGACCTCGTTAGTTCGTTCAGGATCCGTCTTCTGAGGGTGTTCGTTCGTAAAGGAGGGCAACAGTTGGCAATGGAAATATATATTTATATACTACTAGCTAATTGCTCAATGAACAGTCACGTCACGAGTCAAATAGAAGAGAAGATGAAATAATTTGAATTTAACCCATAATTCCTGGCATTCTTTTTTTAGAAACAGCGGAACAGCTGTCAGTTTGGGTTTAGATGACTCTTACTTGATGGTGTAATATAAAAAAGAATTAAATTCACAGAAAAATAACATTTTCATAAATCAAACCGATTTTCTGAGATGTCTGGGGAAATAACAAATAATATCGATAAATTATCAATCGATAAAAAACCTGATTTTTTTGATGATGATGGTGATGTTGTAGATCCATGGACAGTAACAAGCAAGTCTGATACTGGTGTAGACTATGATAAACTAATGAGTAAGTAAGATAAAAAATGATTAGCAAATCTAATTTATATTTTCATTTCAGAAAAGTTTGGTAGTTCAAAAATAGATGCGGAACTTCTCACTCGATTTGAGAAAGTAACTGGAAAACCAGTGCACCACTTGTTGAAAAGAGGTATATTTTTCTCTCATCGAGATATGAATCTGATATTGAATAATTATGAGGCTGGAAAACCATTTTATTTATATACTGGGCGAGGTCCTTCGTCTTCATCCATGCATTTAGGTCATCTTATTCCATTTCAACTTTGTAAGTGGCTTCAAGAGGTATTTGATGTTCCTCTAGTTATACAGCTAACGGACGATGAAAAAACATTATGGAAGGATATCACTATTGAAGAAGCTCACAAGATGGCTTATGAAAACGCCAAGGATATAATTGCAATTGGATTTGATATAAAGAAAACATTCATTTTTTCGGATTTGGACTACATTGGGTGAGATATATATTCATTAAATCTATTTTAATCACTGTTTGATCTGACAATTATTTGAACTGTAAATTTATTTATCCCATTAAACAAACCTGCCAATACCAGGGATCTTAATAGAAATAAAAAAAGTACCTAACATACATATAAAGTCGGGTATCATAATTTAGGACATCTTTAATTTATTTAAGTCAAATGTAGGAATATTCCTAATCAAAAAACACTTCATGAAATATATTTTACTTGATGAGTCACTGTTTGGAGCCTTTAGTTTAGCAATGAATATTACTGGAGTTTTTTCCCAACACCAAACCGTTATTTTAACACTTCGACACGTGTTTCAATCACCAAGTGATCATTTTCAAGAGGTAGATCAAACTTACAAAGCTATCGTTATTTGTACCATAGATACCTGTTCTAAGTACCTGTGTCTTGAGTGTGTTAAATTAATTTTATAGTTTGCCTCATCTTGTCTTAATTTAATTTTAATGTGTTCTTATGTAATTGACAGGACACATTGTAAAATTAATTTAAGACTAGTAGATAATGCAATATGTGCAATTAATTTTATATAGCTTATAGTATTAGATTTACCTGACTATTACATAAGGACACATTGTAAAATTAATTTAAGTCAAGTAGATAGTAGATCAAAACACGTGTTGAGGTGTTAAAATAACGATTTGGTGTTGGGAAAAAACGTCAGTAATATTGAATATTTTGTAAACAAATCGGTGACATGTACGTCCTATTTTTGTACAAAAAACCTATAATGTGGAGTGACTTCGGAAAGAAAACAACTTTCTATAATAACTGTTTCTCTTATTCTTTCAATGACCTAACCACTTTTAATGGAGTTGACATGTTAAAAGGTAAAATACCATTAATCCTCAGCTTGCACAAGTTTTCACTTCTGAGGGTTGTCGTACAGAGGGGGGCGACAGCTGATTAGCATAAAATCAGATTTTACCAGATTAGGCAACATGTACTCCAGTTGAGAAGTGTGATTTCAATAAAAATTAAAACCAAATAATAATTTCTTCAAAAAGAATAATCATATTGATTCACAACTCGAAACCTAATACATTTGAAATTTTTTTTAAACAAAGCAATATCATCACTCTTTATTCTATGAACCAAATGTTGAAGTACAAATCTGTGCAAATCCTACTTCTTCATTAAAATGCAGTAACTTTATTGTGTGATGGTTTTGAACATAGTGGCTGACAACAAAATTATTCTACATGGCACCATTCAGTTGAGTCTTACAAAAACGCCATCTATTAGATAGACAGACAACTAAATCCTCGAATATCAAAGATAAACCAGGCTCCCCAAGGCAGTCAGTTGCAAAGCCAAACTGTGACATCCACACCTGACGAGATTACTTCTCTGTCATTCACTGCTCCTTTCACTCCAGGACAACTAGAAAACCAGAGCACAGACACAACTCATTTATGATTCAACACCAAATAGCACTGTTTCGACCTGCCATAGGTCTCATCAGTGATGTTAGGCTGAACCACAAATGCATTGCTGGACATTCAAATCTTTAATTATTTATTTTAAATAGAGCAAAAATCGACTTCTGTTTTTCACAACACCATAATGTTTGACAATATTTCCATAGTGACTGTCATAGTTTCGTCATATTGAATTTTGAAAAAATGATTCATATGCTTTTTTGAAAGGAATTGGACATTGGTCTTATAAAGTTGTAAATGGAATTTTATATTCTATCAAATGATATAGAACTACTGCAAATTGGGTTAATAGAAACTGTGAAACACTATGCATATCAGGTTCTCTAAATGAGATATGTAAAGTTACAAAATTTCTCCACCNTCCCTCTGTTTTAATAAAGGAATTTGGTAAAGATATAGTAGGTATTCTAACCCATTTAGTAAACCATTCATTTGCATCGGGCATATTTCCAAACTGTCTTAAATCAGCAAAGGTAACTCCAGTGCATAAAAAAACGAAAAAACTAACATTAATAATTACAGACCAGTATCAGGTCTCTCTCCGTTTGCAAAGGTGAACGAATATTGTATGCTAGACAGACTAACTTCCTTCATCAAATAAATACAGACTCATACCAGACCAGCAGCACGGTTTTCGGAAGGAAATTTAAGATTAACAGTTATTACAAAGTTAATTCAGAGACAGCACTTTGCGTAATATATCCTAGCTTTGTTTCAAGGAAAACCACTACATGTAAAAAGTTATCTGCTGAGTTTTGCGCCATTTTTATAAGGTGATATTTTGAGAGAGGTTGGCTGGCTTCGTAATTCAGAAATTGATGATAAGCAATATACAATGTTGCTTTCTAAAAATCATGCGTATGTGAAGTTGTTATTCAAATACGAGCACAAGAAAAAAAACTAATTAATACAGTTTATTGTATGATTTTTACTATGATTTTCACTATAGTCCGAACTAGTGATTGCATATTACAAAAATACGCAATCAGAATAATTGCAAAAGTGAGTAGAAGAGAGTCATGCAGAGAGATTTTCAAAAAATTTAATATTTTGACTGTTATGTTTGTTATGTACGTAGTCTTTACTTTATTTATATACATGTACTAAGACATAATATCCTGACATGTTCTATACCCTAATGGGTCCTTTGAATGAATAAACTCATTTGATTTGATAACTTGAAAGATATTCGAATTATTTAAAACTTATCTGTAGTATTGCTCATTGTTTTAGTTTCGTGAATAACTGTCGACTGAAGAATTCTCGCAATGTTAATCCTTTTGATAATCACATGCTAGTTGTTACACAAATAGTCAAGTGGCGCCATATGGTACCAATGTGGAAAAAGCATTTTTTTCAGCTTTTCCTTTTCGAAAAATGGCTTAAACTGATGATCTAAATAACTTTACTCAGACATAAAGGTGACATGTACGTCCTATTTTTGTACAAAAAACCTATAATGTGGAGTGACTTCGGAAAGAAAACAACTTTCTATAATAACTGTTTCTCTTATTCNCTTTATGCAGGTTACTACCCTGCTTCATTTGTTTTTTACCCTTGGACAAATGTGACATCTTTATTTGGTTTTCACCGTTACATTTATTCGTACATCAGTGGCTTCCTTTTCCATTTCCTGCTCTTCAAAATAATTTTCCAAACGTCTTCGGGTTTTTCGGGAAATATGCTTATCAATATGACGTTCACGTTGGACAGGTACTGCTAATTCTCAACCTAGATTTTTCAAGAAATTCCTTCATTGTAATGGATTGGAATGGTTAGTATAGTTATATATCACTAGTGCATTTAGGGCTCCAACATTTACCACATGGAAAAAAATAGCCATTGACCATCTTTTTTTTCTTCTTGCAATGTTATAAGTAGCACACAACTAACTAACTTATCATTGGTTTCAACACACTTTTTGTCATGTTATAAAATGTCAACTGTTCACGTTTTTTGGCATATTGTTTTGCTTTGCTTCATCAATTGCATTATCTCTATATAGAGTCGATATAACTAACACTGATTTTCCTTTGTTCGAACATAAGAAATTAAGTTTGTTGTTTTTGAGAATCCAAAAAAATTGTTGATCAATCGTTTTTTATTTGCATGCAAATCTGGAGAAATTTCCTACCATTGTGAGCTTGAAATTTTTCAACAAATTTTCAGCTGAAGGTATACTTCAGCAAAGGAATATATTGTCAGAAATTGCAATGTCCACGGAATGGTACTAACTACTCGTCTACTGTTGAATTCATCAGGAGTCAATACTTGCCGACACTTATTTCTTGAATCTTAAAGGTTAACTGTTTAAGATTAACAGTTATTACAAAGTTAATTCAGAGACAGCACTTTGCGTAAGATATCCTAGTTCGGCCAGTTCTATTCAATTACGAAAACAAGAGATTAGGTCATGTCGGACCAACTCATGTATTCTTCTGTTAGCAGAAAACTTTGGCCTACCTAGGACAGATCTCTTGTAAAATATATAGTTCTTCTTTCTTTGTTAAAGGAGTAGATTATGTGGGATCTTGTATTTCAAAAGATAAAAAAGTAAAACGGTTCAAATTCATCAAAGAATATGTTTCAGTGCTAAAGCTAAAGCCTCTGATTAGTAACAGAATTGACTGCTGAATGTTTTATCGCGGCTTTACGACATTTCATAATATTTGAGGTAGATCTTTAAGCATAATTTCTGATAATGAGACAAATTTTGTTGGTGCTAAAAATGAGTTGAACAAATTGGGTCATTTATTATAAGGTAATAAAAACCAAATCGTGGATACTAGTAGCTTGGAAGGTATCCATCGGAATGTCTCTCCGTCATATTCACCAAATCTCGGGGGATTATAGGAAGCTGGAGAGAAGTCAATGAAATTTTATCTCAAAAGAATAACAGGTAACACACTATTTACTAGATACAAATTTACTAGATACAAATAGAAGGCATTTTGAATTCCCGTCCACTTTCGTCTTAACCAATGATCCAAATGTCCTTAATCCTCTATCTTCGCCTTATTTTTTGATTGGTCGTCCAATCATAAGTTTCCCATATCCAGATTTGATAGAAATTCGACAAAACCAGCTATCCAAAATTCAACTAATGAAGCAGAGTTTTTGGACAAAACTGTCATTGGGATACATCAGTGACATACAGTGTCGTAAGAAAAGGAAGACAGCATAGAAGGTTCTGCAAATTAGTGATTTGCCTTTATTAAAAAAAAATGAACCCTCGTTGAAGATTTTCATCCAGGTAATGATTGCTTCTATAAGAATGCTAATTAATAAAGATGAGGTAACGTAATTTCGAAAGCCGGGGTGTTTTTAGGCGGGGGAGTGTTTTTTTCTCTGTGTTCAAGTTTGACATTCCAGTGTAGTGCAGAACTGAATTCACCCAGAAACACCGTTGTTGGAATATTTATTAATATTTTTGTTATACATAAATAATTTGATCTTGCATGTCAAAAATATATTATTGAATTTTCATTAACACCTTTTCATACATATTCAGAACCAATAACAGCATAGGAGATTGAATGCAAATATTCCCTTGAATTTTTCCCCTTGAACCCATTTACTCTACAAGCTTTGGGAGTCTGCTTTATTGGATTCAGAGCGGCTTTATATTATTTTCCTTATTCTTTTCAGCAGATGGTGGTGTAAAAAAAATCCATCTTGAGCGGTTTGACTCATTGGTTGTATACTGGCGTCACTTAGCTAATCATATATTGTCATCCAAACTGAAAACAACCATTCAAACAATACAAGAATACAATCTTTTAATTAGTGTACATTTCAAAATGATCATGAAGTCTATGATTTTTGTGAATACTATCAAATGAATTGTTTGTGAAATTGTTCACATTTGGATAATGGATCCATTTGTTTTAATACTTTGTATTTATCTCTTTCTGTGATTAAAGATGTATGCCTGTCATTATTCTGAAAGATATGATCCAACTTGAATTTTTCAGGCAGTGCCCAGAATTTTACCGAAACATGATACGAATCCAGAAGTGTGTGACATTCAATCAGGTGAAAGGTATCTTCGGTTTTGATGACAGCAGCGTTATAGGAAAAATAGCGTTTCCTGCTGTTCAAGCAACACCTGCCTTGTCTACATCTTTTCCAGCAATCTTCAATGGTCAAAAGATTCAGTGTCTCATTCCATGTGCTATAGATCAAGACCCCTATTTCCGAATGACTCGGGATGTGTGTCCCAGAATTGGATTTCAGAAACCAGCTTTGCTGCATTCCAAGTTTTTCCCCGCTCTCCAGGGGGCCCAGACAAAAATGTCCGCCTCCGAAGCTAATAGCACCATTTTTTGTTGTGACACCCCGAAGCAGTTGAAGAACAAAATCAATAAGCACGCATTTTCAGGGGGACAAGCAACCGTGGAAGATCACAGAAGAATCGGCGGGAACTGTGATGTGGATATTGCCTATCAGTATTTGAGGTTTTTCCTAGAAGATGACGACAAACTCGAACAGATAAGGAAAGATTATTCCAGTGGGGCACTATTGACAGGAGAACTAAAGAAAATTCTCATCGATGTATTGACACCTATCATTGTTCAGCATCAAGAGAGGCGATCTAAAGTAACAGACGATATTTTGAAGCAATTCATGACACCCAGGAAATTATGAACGACGTTAACGGAATAGCTCAATTGTATCATTTTATTTATTTTCTACCATACCGCAACTTTTATATGCTTTAAGCCAAAACTGTTTTAATGGATCTACAATGAAAATCTGTGATTAATAGTGTTTTTTTCCCTTACACTAGTCATAATGGGTCAGTTTGATAGGAGAGTAAACAGAGTATTTCCTTTTCATATATAGTCAGTGGGCATAGAATAGAATAGAATAGAAGTTTATTCATCACTAAAGTTCACATGTACAACATAAAAAAAGTGTAAATACATGAAACTTATTGGACTAGTCACAAAGAGAGCTTAAAAGTAATTAAAATTTACAAGATTATACATATACATTTTTGATAAGTAAAATATTAAAATATANATCCCAGAAGCATGTTTACTTGTTGTTTTAGTTATATATTCTTCAATCTCCTGAGGAGTGGTTGGACAAAGGAAAAAGCTATGTTCATTGAAAGGACCTAATTTCAATTTATCAGGCTCCGGCCTTGTACATTTTACATTCATAAAATGTTTACTGAAAATATTACTTATTTCTTCGTGATCTGCTATTTTTTTATCATTAACAGTAAGTTGATTCACTGAATTGAAATTTGGTTTATTTTTTGACTCGTTAATTATTTTCCAACTTCCTCTCATCAGGTTTGGTGCCCTTGAAGACTGGCTATAAATCAAATCATCTAAAGGAACAATTCGTTCAGGCCAGTCTCAACTCCCTACACTTAGGTTAATGGAAGTTTTCTTTCCTTATACGAGGATTGGGTAAATTTCGGCGGTTGGTTACCTCGTTCATAGGCAGATGTGGTGATAGCAAACCAATTGTTTGTTGTCCACTTCAGCCTAGTTCGAGGAATGATACTCTGAAGGAATTCGATTTTCAATTATTGGAAATCATCGACTTCATGTTGATGATAGACACTATCTTGCACTGACGAGGGGAGTAGTTGTTTTCTGATAGGTGTCAGTCCATTAATCTATGGTATTGGGAGTTGAGACTGGCCTAAACGAATTGTTCCTTTAGATGATTAGAGTATTTCCTAACTAGAGTATGAAACTTTAGAAGGTAATTTGTTTGGTCGTTTCGAACATATAATAATATTGATAGTTTGTATTCACCATTGGCGATACATAGCGTACATATGGTCACAGATGAGTGAAGTAGTACAATTACATATAAATATAAAAAAATGAGATTATACAGTATGCCAGCTAATTAGATGAGAGAAAATTGAAATTACTATTTGCATACACACTTTCGTAAATTTACACATGCACATATAAAAAATAATAATTGAAAATGTGGCAATTTTGCGTGCCATAGTCATTGATTATTAAATAAAATAAAATTATTGTTCAGAACCCTGAAACTGAAGTAGAACACGACAAGTAAAACATGACATTGATCAAAAATGTAATTATTCTTCTGAAAAGTATCCTCTAAATATTTGTTATGGCTGTAGTAAAATTTAAGCAAATCATATAAAAGAACGAATTGTTCTTTTAGATGATTTGATTTAAGAAGAAGTAAGTTTTCAGCTATCTTACTGAACATAGTTTCAGAATTTGACCCCTTTATAGAAAGTGTCAGTCTGTTATAAAAACGGTATTTCGCAATGCAGATGCATTCTTTAACCAGAACTGCAACACTCTTCTCAACGCTCGTTTCACCAACCAAGTTGGCGTCTTCAGGAGATAAGGTTCACTAGTGAACCTTATAGTGATCTCCATTTATATCTAACAAGAAACACTTTCAGACACACATCAGTGATTTAGGGTAGAAAAATAGAGAAAGAAAGATCAAATGATCAAATGTATCTAAAAACAGAGAAAGGCAAAAAGTTTCATAAACTACACCTTATGAAATTACTATGGATCTTCAAGTAACGGCCAAACCAATAAGAAAAAAAAAGGCAATAAGATTGTGATATCGAAAAAGTCAGATAACTATTAAAGATTTGATAATTTAATTGAAAACGGTTCCTATAATAAATTACCAAGGAGCCCATCGCCTAAGATGGTTTCAGAAGTGAAAAACAATTGAGAAGTATCAACATTTGATTGTACCGATTTTGAATAGAGTCTACAGGTTTTCAATACTACAGTTTCTAAAATATATGGTTTACCGTACTGAAAATTCACAAATCTGGCAAGTCGGCGCGACCAATTGCCTCCGCCGCGAGTTCTCCTTCCTATAAAATGGCTGAATTTGAAAGTATCTCATCCTCACTAGTTTTGCTAATTCACATGCATGAATAAATATAATAGTGAAAAAAAAAATAAAGTTGATGTATTCTTGTTGTTTCCAAGTGCCCCTAAACCAAAAACAATTGAATATTTGAGGGATTTTCTGAGGATTTAGATTACTTTCCATGGACTTGAATCGGATATGGCGATATATTTGCGTGTGTTGACACAAAAAATTTGAGATAGAGGACTTTGTTTCAACTCTTAACAGATCTTTGAATAGGTTCACATATGAAATTGAAAACAACGAGAAGTAACAGTGAACAGAAGTAACCAGAGTCTAGAATTCGATATCGATAGGAAAAAAACGTACCAATACTTTTAGATATATTCCAATTGGCTCATGCCATTGTCCTCAACACAAAATGGCGGGATTAAACTTTCTTGTCCCTGGGCTTGTTACGTTCTCCTTAAGTGAAGAATGATATGATGGTATCAAGAAAAGTGTTATCAGGGACATAACTGAAAGCGACGGGCATCTTTCAAATATAGAAGATAAGTTAAAATTATGAAACGTAAATTTAAGGAGAGTCTTCATAAATCTTCAACTTTTCGGAAAGACATAAATTCAAAGTTCATTTTTTCTCCGTATACCAAGATACACTAATGGATTAGATCAGTTTTCATATATGAATATTACTGGTGTTTTTTTCCAACACATAACCGTTATTTTAACAACTCAACACGTGTTTCGATCACCAAGTGATTATCTTCAAAAGGAAGATCAAGAGGTGTTAAAATAACGGTTTGGTGTTGGGAAAAAACTCCAGTAATATTTATTACTACACCAAAGGTTCCAAACTGCACCACAAATTTTCATATAGTTGTACGTAAAAGTAGCCTCCATAACCTTTTGCTCACTCCAACAAATTTTAGGTAACTATAAAGACCAGTAGTTTGAAAGTTGAAAGTCGGGGAATTATGAAATAAGCTTTGAGAGCTTATCAAAAATACATGGGCTAGACAAAGTGAGCAATCAAAACTTGTTTTGAAAAACAAGTAGCAAATATCCGATTTTGGAGATACTACATAGATTTTTGGATGCTTTCGAAATTTTGGAAATAGCAAAGTGTGGCACGAGAGCTATTAACAGTGACAAAGGGGCCATTTCAAACAGTCCCATTATTTATGGCTCTGTTGAAATTAGCGGGAAGTTTCACGATATAATTTTCCGAAAATTTTTACGCGAAATCATTGAAGTGAGACCAGTTCTAAAGTTAGGAATTAGTGTATTTAAATTTCCTAAAGACGCCAATTTGGTTGGTGTTTGGGAACAGTGCAGATTTTTGTCTCCGTTTTTATACAGTGGTATAACTTTGCCAGTTTTAAGAATGGTTAGACGGTATTGCAGAGACACATTATAATGATGTAGGTACATAAGAGGCGAAGCGTTTTAGTAGAATATTTGATATTTTGTCATAACCAGCACAGTTTGAGTTTTTTGAAGAAAGATTTAATTCGGTAACACCGCTTCTAGTAACTAGCAAGAGAAATATAGATTGGCAGTTATTCTCAACGGACTTTGTGACGAATTCATCAATAACACTCATGTATGTGTATGGGTAATAGCATTTGTAGCTCAATGAAAAAGTTGCTGAAGCTTTCCACACGTCTTTGTGGTTCCAGTATACGGTTTTGAACATTGTTATTTATATAGAAATTTATTTTTTTTCTACCTAACGTGTTGTTTATTAATATCCACATTACTTTATTTTTATTGTTTGATTTGAGAAGCTCTGATAAATGGTTTTATACTTACTGAGCGTCACTATTTTCCGGGTTTGAAAGCCGTGGTTTTTTGTAACTTCTTCCCGACGTTCCTCTGGCGCGAGTGGCTAGCTTTAAACATTCTGAGTTAATATCTCCGACGACTCCGATGAGATATTAACTCAGGATGTATAAACCTCTAAGGAAGCTAGCCACTCGCGGCAGCTAAACGTTTCCAACCTGATAAAGATGACTATCGGCGGCAGCTAAACGTCAGGAAAAAATTCCAAAAATCGTCGGCCGTCAAACCCGGAAAATAGTGACACTGACAACCCCGGCCGCGAAAGCCTTAACCATTTTGTCAGCAATTTCATAACTTTTTTAAATTCTGGATAGGTTTTCTTAAGATTTGCCAAAAGAGATACATGATCCATTGTTTTTTCAACTTCAACCCTATGTATGGGATGAAAATACTTTATTTATTTTGGCCTAATTTCATTTATTGGGAAACAGTTGCAGTTGGTAGTAGCATAAATATTATCTCAATTCATTTCCTCTGAAATTTCAATGAAACCTCTAATATTATTTTAACTGAAAATGCTTTCTTCATTAGGGACTGAATTCGGTTTCAATTATTGTCATTTGTGCATAACGATCTGAATGTTTGCTATCGTTTTCAGCAATATGATGGAATTGGCCGATATTTGATGAAAATCTATAACTAACGTATTCAAAGAACACTTTATTGTGAGATTTTCACCAAACGATTTTACAAAAACGCAACACGTGTTTCGCCATAGGTTTCTTCGGGCATCTTCACTCATCCATAAACCTACGAGTGTCATAGAGACACTCCTATGATTAGCAATGAACATTATACTTAGGACTTCGCTCCAAAGTTATCACAATTATCAGTGAGCATACTTGAAGACTGGCTATAAATCAAATCACCTAAAAGAACAATTCGTTCAGGCTAGTCTCAACTCCTTACACTGTAAGTCAATGGACTGACACATATCAGAAAACAACTACTCACTTGGCTAATACCACGAAGGGCGTTGGATTATATCCGACAGGTGTCATTGCGGGATTCTTCACTGAAGTTATTCCTGCATATGCTGTTGGCGATACAACTGCTGCATATGCTGTTGGC